ATTAAGTATTATGGGAAACATAAATTGGACATTTGAAAAACTACTATTTGTGATCCTGCAGCAAACACCCATTTTAAAACTTATCATTGCCGAGTAATGGTAGAGGTAACCGTTCATTACTTTTTTCGGCAACTGTCATGGTAATGCGCTACCTTTTTTTTTGTAGGTAGCGCTGGGTGGTAACTCCTTTCATTTTTATTTAGGTAACAAGTAACGTATATAGCTTTTTTTTATTTGCTAGCGCATACCCCACTGGTGTAAAATGAAGCAGCCTGCAAGGAGTAAGTCATGTTTTACATAACATGAATGTCATAATCTACATTTCTACTCATGTTTTTAGTTTGTCTCACCATAATACATCACGCAATATCAATTTTATTGTACAAGCTAGTGACATGTTCGGGAACGCAACGTGAGCAGGACACGTAAATCATGTTGTACATGCCATGGATGTCATGATTGTCATGTTAACGCTCGTAATAATTGTTCTACAGTCACGTCACCCAATTCCAAATTTGCAACATGTCAAGCTAGCCAAACGGCCACGTAGGCACCATGCACATGGCATATATGTCATGCTACAGGACGTGAACGTACCGATTTTCACATTAATACCTGTCATTTATGCTAGTGACGCACAAATGTCTGATGGTACCAATTTTGGTATATATCAAGTAAATGGAACGGCTGCTAGAGTACAATGGCCATGCCATATAAACAACGTAGTTCATGACAGCCAAGTCATGATTTTAACATGACCTCTTAATATGATCGACATACACTCATGTTATGCCACACCAATTTTGATACAAACCTCATGAACGATATGATCCGGAGAGCACAAAGTCGTAGGCGGCTAAATAGATCGACAGCTACGCCCAAAGTCGCTGAAGTTCATTAACAAATGCTTGGCATTGAATGTATTCCTGCATGATACGGTGTTTTTGATTGATATTGCTCACGACCCATTCTATTTTCACTGCAGCAATCTTTAAACTTCTATCTGGTGCATGAGCCGCAGTTCAAACCTCGTGTTTTTTTTTTTCATAAGGGTGATACGTGTAAAAGTAAACGCGAGACAAAGTATACATGCATCGAAAAGGACTGTGAGAGCCGCGAGCAGTTCTGAAACACCCCGATGCAGATGTGGGCCATGAAAACAACAAATGGGCCTTTTTCGTAATCCACAAGTTCGTTTCCCTGCACTGCAAACTTGCCCAACTAACGGCAGTATTTGCCGTCCTTTAAGTGGAAATGAGGCCCTAGTTGCACATGTACGCGGTTTCTTCGTCAGAGCGTAAGCAAAAACGCAGCACGCTGTTTACTGGCTTCTCTGTTATGCAAGGCACATTGCAAAAAAGCCAGCTTTAAATTTATGCAAAGGGTGTACAAGGTCGACAAAAACGACTGAGGAAGCTACATAGCTTTAGCTACACATTAACGTAGTGTATCAATCGAAAGAGTGTTTATTCGCCAGTGTAAACCCAGGAGTCTTTTTTGAAATATCTTTTCTAAGCTTCGTAGTCGATGTTTAAAGAGGCCGAAGTGGGTCTAAATTGTGGCCGCTCCCATAGGCTGCGTGGAAAAATATTCAGATAGTCTGGAGAGGAAGGCACTTAGTGGTACGTTATTGAAATTACACCTGAAACATTCTAGTGCTTTTCTAGTATCATAAACAGGAAGTTGTTTTCAATATTGTGTCTCGTTCGTGAGATATGAGCTTTTTTTTTTTTTTCGTGCGCTTCCCGTTCAGTTACAAAGGAGCGACTGGCCGCCGCCGAGAGATAGCGCGACATGTTATGTCTAACAAGGTTAGTGCAGTGGTGGCGCGTGACGCAGCGGTAGGGATTTATGTTTTTTGTTTGTACGCCTGTGAAGTGTTTTTGTTTAATTACTTCTAGGGCAGAATAATCTGGCTAACCTGATACAACGGGGTCAGCCTCAAATCATCATCATCATCGTCATCATCACCATCATCATCGTACTAATAATAATAATAATAATAATAATAATAATAATAATAATAATAATAATAATAATAATAATAATAATAATAATAATAATAATAATAATAATAATAATAATAATAATAATAATAATAATAATAATAATAATAATAATAATAATAATAATAATAATAATAATAATCACAAATCCTGGGGATGGTCTCTTCCCGCCGCTTATCTTCCCGCCACTTTTTTTTTAAGAAAACGCGTGCAATGTCAGCTGTAAGCGTTAACTACCTCAGCATTTCGCACTTTTCGACTACACGCTGCTATTTTCGCTTGTGTGGTCGCGAACGCAGAAAAGGACGTGAAAATTGTTTATCACGCTTGCTGGATTTCGTGCCGACCGGTTGTGCGCCCGCGCGCTCCGCGCGCTTGCGATCTTCGGCGTCAGCGTAGCTCTGGCCGACTGGGTTCGCCCTACGTCACCTCCTGCCGCCGACGACCTTCGACGACAGTGTAGCTCTGACTTACTGGACTTGCTCTACGCCATCTACCGACGCCGCCGAGAGCTCTCGGAACATAGAAACACCATTACCTTGACATGGTCCAAAAATCGCTGGAGTTGGCCTTTTAGGGTCAGAAGTTCTTTCATTATTTTCTTCGTGTAAGCGGGTGCGACGTGTTTGGAAGCGATATAAATAGCGGACGCCAATTAATTATCGTACCGTTCGCCGTTATGCAACACAACATCGAGCGACAAAAAAAAGAAGTGACTCTTTCGGCACGATAACACCGGCTGAGTCGCCGGAGGCGCCATAAGCGAGCTGCAAAAACACGCCGTTTCTGCTTCGGGTTTGCCTAAACGAACACGCGAAACACGGCCGCCGTTCCGCTGTGCGAAGTCGCGCCATTCGCGGTTTATCGTCGCCTCTAAGTCCGTCGTATTGGCGCACGGAAACGCGTACACTACGCAGTAAGCACGGAAAGCCAGCGAGCGTGGCGTGTTTCGAGGGCTCTGCAGAGTGAGGCGGAACAATGCGAGCGTGCGATCGAGTGAGCCATCCCTGACGGTGGCGTCTCGCATCATTTTGCAGAGCACAGCCCCTCCTTCGCACATCACCCCCCTCTCTCTCTGTCTATCCGTTTCACCCTCGTTGCCATGAACGAAGTCCGACCATACTTTCGATATTTTCTTTTACGAATAAGCGTTCTTAGTCTATTCGCTGACGTCGGCATGTAGCAGTATTAGCATTAGTAAAAGCTGTCCTACTACTACTATTACTACTACTACTAATATTATTACTGCTACTACTACTATTACCACTACTACTACTAGTAGTAGTAGTAGTAGTAGTAGTAGCAGTAGCAGTAGTAGTAGTAGTAGGACATCTTTTAATAATGATAATACTGCTACATGCCGACGTCAGCGAATAGCAGTAGTAGTAGTAGTAGTAGTAGTAGTAGTAGGCAAGTCATGTGAACACAGGGGGAGAGAAAATTTGGTAAGCAAGTAACCAGAACGAAAGGCTGTTGCTGACGTTTGAACAGCTATTTATGATGGTGATGGTGATGATGATGATGCTAAACGCCGACGATGATGATAAAGATGTTCGAAATAGCGATGCTGAAAGTAACAAGACAGCACACAATAAAGACTCAGTATACTCTTCATGTCACCGTTTCTAACTTCAGTCGCCTTCGTCTGCCCCAGTCCCCTTTGCATCAATTTAGCTGTCGTTTTTTGCAGCTGGTCGAGCTTGCCTTAATGCTGATAATGAACGATGATGATGTAGTGCATGATCATCATCATCATTTTCTCAATCACCGCGCCGCGCCTCTCGCGCAGCAGATGCTAGCTCGAGCTGCGCGAGAGAGAACGAGCTGACACGCCTGGCGTGGCGGACGCTGGTAGCCGACGTGGCTCCGCTTCAGGCCTGCAATAAAGTGGCGAGATCGGCACGGCCCCATCGGCCTCCTTCGACGCCGTCTCACGTCTCTCCTTCTCTCGCCGCTACATTGGTGACCCGGACGTGATTCGAACACGCAACCTTCTGAGCTGACACGCCTGGCGTGGCGGACGCTGGTAGCCGACGTGGCTCCGCTTCAGGCCTGCAATAAAGTGGCGAGATCGGCACGGCCCCATCGGCCGCCTTCGACGTCGTCTCACGTCTCTCCTTCTCTCGCCGCTACATTGGTGACCCGGAGAACACGCCCTTCGCCGAACGGCCCGCTGCCATGTTCCCGCAACTCTGCCCGCCAGTGCCGCCGTTCCAATCGACCTACCCCAAGGTATGGTTTATGCAGCTCGACGCCGTTCTTGCGTTGAATGGCGTCACGGACCAGCCACTGATGCACGCCATTCTTCAAGACGCCCTTCCGGTAGAGTTGCGTCATCTCTCTGGCACTTCAACCTCCAGCCAGCAGCCTTACGATGACCTCTGCTCGGCGGTGCTTGCCAGACATGGCCTCACCTACCAACCGCTGCCGTTCACCCGCGACTTACAGGTTTCGTCTGCGTCGCAGCGTGCTGGACCCTCCGGCCCGAAGCTCTCATCTGACCGCAACCTGGCTTCCCCGACAACGTCTCCCTCCGCCTTGGGTCCGGCCGCTGGCGCGGTGAGTCTCGCACCCGGTCACAGATCCGACGAGGTTCTTGAGGTCGTTCCTGCTGCCGACGACCTCTCCACCAGGGGGTGCGTTTTTTCGAGGTCCTCGGCCGATGGTACTTCTGGCATGCTTGCTACCTCCATGTTTTCCACGAGAGCGACGGCACGCGACACCGTGGCCCCACCGGACTCCATGACGACCACCTTGCCGCCCGCATCGGAGTCGGGCACAGGTGACCTTTCGCCCGTTGTTGACTTCCCGACCTCGAGGCTTTCGCCTTCAACAACGTCCGATAAACGAGACTTAACCTCTCGTCTGGCCACTGGCGACGCGTGTCCTGCAATCGACGGACCATCCGCCAAGGTTGTAGACATTTGGGCTGAATGCAACCAGTCAGCCACGAGATTTGTGTTTTCATTGTCCTCGGCCGACGACGCTGCAGGCATGCTTGCCGCCGGCTCGTCTCGGCCGACCTCCATGGCTCACGGCACGGCTGACACGTCGGGTTCTGCGATGGCGGCGTCATCGAGCGCCCTGGCGTCTACAACGACTGCGGACATCGTCACGCCTGCTGTTCAACCCCCGGTTGTGAGGGCTTCAGTGTCGACGATGTCCGGGGGTGCCTCTCCACTCACCTCGGTGATCTGCGTGTCTGGCCGGCAGCAACCATCCTCGCCCTCGTGGTCTCTCGCGGGCGAGGTTGAAGCCAAGGGCTGTCAACCACGGCCAGACTTCCGAGATGTTGCGACTCTGACCGACCCTCCTGAGGACGACGTGCCTGGTCTGCCTATGTCACAGCAGACCGCACATCTCACGCCTGGCATGCGGGCACCCATCTTCCATACCGACCTGCGCACGAACCGACGTGCGCCGACTACTGAGGGTGTTTCGCCAGGTCAGGGTACGCCCACTGAGCCTCCTCTGGAGTCCATGTCTGCTGGATCCCATGACACGCCTCCTGCTGAGTTCTTGACGGAAGCCGTGGGCGAGCTGGCGTGTGACTGGACTGTGGGCACACCCTTTTACGGGCCTCATGCGTCATTCACCTCTGCCCGGCGTGTACAACCCTACTTGCTCACTGCCAGCGTGGGTGGTCAGATCCACTCATATTCAGATGCCACTCACGTCACGACACCTGCGTACCGACATCGGCAGCAGTGTTGTGCACGCCCGCGAGGGCACCGTCAAGGCCATTGCTTGTCGATGGGTGGTCTGCACGACTTCACTACGCCACTTCTAATTGTTTCGCGCGCAGGGGCCAAATCGGCTTTTGTGCACCCGTCGTCACCTCACCCTGAACGCATCTCTACCTGCAATGCTCACTCGCGACACCCTGTGCGCTCCCAGCTAGCCCCAGCCGGTCGTCCTGTCACCCACTTGTGTGCAAACACAGTTTCGGAACGCTTACTTCTTCGTCCTCTGCGCAACTCCCAGTGTCGCCCACCAGAGACTCACTGGCTCCCGATGGTCACTACACGTTGACAAACTGGACTTCCTAAACGGACACCTTGCGGATTGTCGTTCATGTACATAGTCTCTTTCTCTTTCTTTGTCATATACACTTCAAATCGCGCAAAGCGCTAGGGGGGGAGCCCTGTAGTGCATGATCATCATCATCATTTTCTCAATCACCGCGCCGCGCCTCTCGGGCAGCAGATGCTAGCTCGAGCTGCGCGAGAGAGAACGAGCTGACACGCCTGGCGTGGCGGACGCTGGTAGCCGACGTGGCTCCGCTTCAGGCCTGCAATAAAGTGGCGAGATCGGCACGGCCCCATCGGCCTCCTTCGACGCCGTCTCACGTCTCTCCTTCTCTCGCCACTACAATGATAATGCTCGAATTACTATCATGATGATAAAAGGTAATGATCATGCTGATGTTGATGATGATGCACGTGATCTCATTACACGCACTCGCGTGCCTGCAGCTTCGTTGCTCCACGGTTATCATGGCGCGGAAATTGGCTGACTTTGTTTTGTTTTTTTTTGTCTCTACATTCTCTTTCTTTTTGGTTCCATTTGAAATGACCTTAGCCTGTGCGAACGCACTTTGTAAGAAATATTTTGATATCAGTACAGTGTAGTACGGTGCGATGGAAGCTTTAGGAACAGAATGAGCGCGAGAAAAATATGCGAGTTTTTCGCGACGAAATGAAGCGCTGCTTCATTTCGTCCGCAAAAGAAAGCCGTAGGGCGTTTCTTGCGTAAGTCTCAGGCACCGAAACATGTTAGAGACACGATAAAAACCAAACTTTATTTGCGCAAGGTTCGTCGTTTAGTATAAAATGTGTATAGAATGAGTTTGCCCTGTAATTGGTGATCTTAGGGTTTCCGATCTACAGTGACCTTGCCTTCATCCCCGCCCTGCTCCCCACTCCCCACCTGCTGATGCTTTCCTAAGTTGAGTGCGTCTCAAGCTTGCTCTGCACATCGCGTCTTCCTGACCTTGGCTATCCAGCGGCACTCTAGGCAAATGTTTCCACGCGTGTGTTCACACGTGCGTGCACTCCAAGGAAGGCCCCTCAAGGCAGACTTGACCAGATGTAAGAAAAATAAAAAGAGCACAAAACAGCAACAAAGCCCTTGTGGTGGCTCTGCCAAGGTCAATCTCGCTGACGCACCCGTGGTGAATCATTCACCCGTACCGGAGTGTGCACCTGCGCATATACATACCCAAGGGTTAGCGCACCTCGAATCGAACATTCCAGGACATACGAGCGTCGCAAGGACTCGCGCTAACTGAAGGCTACAACTTCCCAAGCGTAGCAACCAAATTTGTAACCGGTCGAAGCTCTTCTTCACTACCCCCCCCCCCCCATTCTATTTATTTATTTTACATACTGCCGTCTCCAATGAGGACTTTTGCAGGAGGGCGACTAAACATACAAGATACACTTACATTGAAAAGGTGAAAATGTATGAGTTCAGTATGTCCCCTTCCCTAATCTCGCAGTTTAGGGTAGCCAACCCGGAGTATTTCTTGGTTAACCTCCCTGCCTTCTCCCTTTCTTTCCTTCCTTCCTTCCTTCCCTCCCTCCCTCCCTCCCTCCCTCCCTCCCTCCCTCCTTCCTTCCTTCCTTCCTTCCTTCCTTCCTTCCTTCCTTCCTTCCTTCCTTCCTTCCTCCCTCCCTCCCTCCCTCCCTCCCTCCTTCCTTCCTTCCTTCCTTCCTTCCTTTCTTCCTTCCTTCCTTCCTTCCTTCCTTTCTTCCTTCCTTCCTTCCTTCCTTCCTTATGACTACAGATATTATACAATATTAGATGGAGCCTATGGGAACGTAAGCTTGCGGGGCTGTCTTTCAATACCGCGACTTTAGCGCAGATCTCCGTAATGAAGCGTTCCGTAACGCAGCCTGTCCGCCCTTTTATACCCTTTACGTTTTCCGCAAACATACGCGTCAGTATATGTAACAGAGCTTGGACCGCAGATGCAGTTGATTGCCCGACTCGAAAGATGGTAAATGCAAGTGTTTAGCTGAGAAATGAGTTCACGAAGGTGGTTTCTGAGCCGCAAACTTCATAGCACTTTGCATAAAGGCGACATAATCCGTATCCGCACAGAAAATCAGTGAAGGCTTTATTGAACTTTTTGCGTGGTAGTTGCCTATTGAATAGGCTATGGCACCCCAGCTCCCATTTTCTTCTTTTCTCTTTCGCGCGTATATTTCGCTCTTCGCTTTCTTTACCATTTTTATTCCGCATTCTCCATTCCCTTAGTGCAGGGTAGCAAACCGGATTCTCCAATTTCTGGTTAACCTACCTGCCTTTCCCTGATTTTATTCTCTCTCTCCCTCTCTCCGTTTTTTGCAGTATCTAACCCCCGCCCCCCTCACCTCCTCTTTTTTTTCCACATCTTCCCCCTGTCTGTAAGCAATATCAAAACTAATCGATTGATTCGATGCTCATTATATTGTAGGAGTTATTTTGCTCACAGTAATGCGAATGGCAAACTTACACTGCTTATCGCAATCGACTGCCGAGTTTCCAAGCTTGATTTTGTGTGCTTTGCGTAGTAGGACCCATGATGCTCGATGGTAAGGTAGCGAATGATTTATTGTACTGCTGCAAGTCTGTCACTTCACATTCGAATTACGTATTATCAAGAGGTGGGGGGCGACACATCAAATTTTTAACACTCACTCACTCACTCACGCACTCACCAACCGATCAATTAGTAGGTAAATCAATTCAAAGTCAATCAATTAATCAGTCAATCAGAAGTTCACTTAGTTCATCAATAAGTGAATGAACTGATCTTATCGTTGCCAAATCAAGTTAATCGATCCCTCAAAAAGTGCTTATTCGTTCTATGCTCGTGAGAGCATCTGCTGAAGTATTGATGACTTCGCATAGACCGAAGCGTTTGACGGCAATTCATCCATCATAATCCCCGTAAAAATCATTAGCGGAGTTCGCTTCCCCGCAGGCACATGTTCGAGTAGTCGTACAATTTTAGCTCGGTATAGGTTCGCATTGCTTCTGGGTCATCGGGAAATCACTATCTCATTATGGAGATGGAGGAACATGCCCGACATGCACTGTGCCTAACAAAAGGTCGTTCCTGCAAGCCATGTATCCACCGCTGGAAGCAGTTGCCTTAGGCCAAACCGCTATTGACGACAATGTCCATACGTTTTTTGTCAATTTACCCTAAAAGAGTGTTCGATTTTCCTCCCGCTTTTTTGCGTGTCTCGCAGTGGGGTGCTGCAATAATTTTCCGTCACGTGTTTTCTCTGTGTGCGTTTTTTGTGAGCGTTTTGTGTATTTTTTGTGTTCCCGGGAGGAATTGCTGTTGTACACACACACACACACACACACACACACACACACACACACACACACACACACACACACACACACACACACACACACACACACACACACACACACACACACACACACGTGTGTGTGTGTGTGTGTGTGTAAACTGCATTGGCATTGGCTGCAGGCGATATTTAGCGAAGTATCGACTTATAGCGTTGTGCATACATACGTACCTTTTAAAGAAAAAAAATACCCCTGCGCTCTCGGCACCGAAAGGCTATGGCGAAAGCACTGATCTTAGGGTCGTTAGCGAGTTAAGCCTAATGTGAAGCCTAACCTGTCTGCTAGAAAAAAAAAAGAAAAAAAAAACTGAGATGGTCAGGGGCAAGTGCTGTATTTTGCATGCTTCTCTTAAAGCGAGTTTAATGAGCGTAACTGTGCCAGGCTTCCCGTGAAAAACATATGCCTGACTGTTAGGTCGAGCTTGCACTTAAGTTTAATTTTGAAATCGTGTGCCAGGCGCTGTGCCCCTTCGTCGTATCGGTTCGGTGGTAAAGGTAATTAGATTCACATATATGGATAGTCGCTTATTGAGTTAAGCGAACTAATTGACTTGCTCTGGAGCGTATCTAGAGACAATGGCCTCTTGTCGAAGCCGCATTTCGGTGCACCAAATGAATTGTCGTACAATAGAGCGTTGTTTTACGTTGTGTTTCTAAATTACAGCTCTTGAAAGGCACATTAGCTCGAGATTTCTCGCATACGGTTACTGTAGTCCAGCTATTAACGTTATTATTTTATTTTGACGCTAATTTTCTTAACGATCCGCTGACGCTGTGCCATTGTAGCTTTTTGTTTGTTCGGTTAGTATAAAACAGGTCCATAAAAGTAACACAGGTTACGAGGGGTGGGGGGACAGTGAGTAAACTTTATCGACGGCGGTAAATAAAGTAGGCTGGAACATTGCTCGTTTTGAGAAATTCAGCGTCATCTATAGGATATCAACATCTCTGAAACACTGCTGCTTCTCGGTCAATAAGCGTTTTCAGAAATGCAGAATACTAAAATAAAAAAAAACTAAATTGCTGCTCTTTTGGCAAATTCTATCCAGATTGTTCAGTTGTGTGCCAATTTATAGTATCTGTGTGTTATATTTAGGGCTTACATCGCTGCCACTCGTTACGAAGTCCTCGAATAGACGAACCAATCGAATTTCTCTAGAATCACCCGCATTGTTTGAGCATTGCAGTTATAACAGCGCTCGTTTGCCCCCAACACTCCGGCATCGGCGCACCTTTTATTAAATGGTGCCATGTGGTGACGTCGTC